GAAGATAGATGAAAGATTTGGAGACAGAAGATACCTGATGGAGGCGAGCGGCGAAGCTGTGGAAGGCGACCGACGATGGAGACGGTGGTGGTCACCGGCAATGGAGACGGTGGTGGTCACCGGCGACGGAGACTCGGGAGGTGACAACCGGCCGACCTGGGGAAGGGGACGAGACTCGTGAAGGCGACGTTAAGAGAGAATGGGACGGCTGGAAGAGTGGTGTGGAGGGGTAAGAAGGGAACAAATGCAATCTGAATGGTTTAGTGAAGCTATGGATGCAAAATGGTTAAGAGGTTATTGTAACTATTAAGATGGTTGTTTTTTTTTGCCAAACAGACCTTACCTCTTACCGATTAAGAGGTTGGCTCTTAATGTCACCATTAAGAGCCAAACAAACAACCCCTTAGGGATTTTTTGGGATGGGCTTATGCATAAACTCCTTGTACCCTGTGTAATAGAATTTGTTTTTAAGACTTAAAGCATCAAAAGATTGTACTTTTGTTTTTAAGACTTTTATGAAATCTGGTTTATAAGATAGTATAGATAGGAATAGGAATAGCATCTTGTAAAAATCTTTCTTTTTTTACTTTTTATAGGTCCCACTTGGTTTTTTAAGCATTAATAACAATTATAAAATCACAAAAAGTTAAATAAAAAACCAGAAAAACGTCATAGCTTATGGTAAAAATAAAAACCAATATTCTTGTCAAAAATCTAAAGAAGATAAGTTTCTTATAAGAAAGGTGAATTTATAAATGATGTTGAAATCCCGAAAGAAGTCCTAAAAATTCTTAAAGGTCACGAGAGAATCAAGGAATAACCACTAACCTCCAAAAACATTTATGCACACATCCACCCTCTTCACACCTCCATTTCTCCACTCTCCAAATTCTCCTGCAACCTCCTCCATTTCTCCCCCAAATCCTGCAATTCAAGAAATCTTGTTAAAAGGATTACCCTAAATCTCTTCCCATCAAAAAGGGATCATCAATTATGCCAAGCAGGTTGCAGAAAGCCATTGGAGCAGTGAAAGATCAAACCAGCATTCATCTAGCCAAAATCAACAACCATACTTCATCCCATCTCCAGGTTGCTGTCCTTAAAGCCACCACACACGACGATTCCCCCGTCGATCAGCGCTACGTCTATCAAATTCTTCACTTGATCGCCTCCGACAAGATCTATGCAGCCGCCTGTGCTCGAGCCATTGCCAAAAGGATCACTCGAACCCGTAATTGGGTCGTTGCCCTCAAGTCGTTGATGCTTGTGCTACAAATCTTTGAAGATGGTGATCCTTACTTTCCTAGAGAACTTCTTCATGCAACCAAAAGGGGTTCTAGGCTTTTGAATCTCTCGGATTTCTGTCATGATTCGAGTTCGAATTGGGATTACACCGCATTCGTTCGGACGTTTGGCTTGTATCTGGACGAGCGGTTGGATTGTTTTCTAACGGGAAAGCTTCAAAGGAGATATACGTATAATGAGAGAGAAGGTTCTCGTAGCTTTCGAGGACGGACTAATGAATCCTTTCGTGAGATGAAACCTTTGATGCTGGTTGATAGGATTGTTCATCGGCAGCGACTGCTCGGACGAGCAGTCGCTACACGACCAACCGGTGGAGCGAAAGATCACTGGTTGGTTAAGATAGCGTTGTATGCGGTTGTTAGGGAGAGTTTTGATTTGTACAAAGATATTTCGGACGGGTTGGCTCTTCTGCTCGATAACTTTTTCCATTTGCCAGACGAAGCTTGTGTTGGAGCCTTTCGGATTTGCGTAAAGGCTGCAAAGCAGTTCAAAGAACTCGACAAGTTCTATTCCACGTGTAAAACCATCAGTATCGGGAGAAATTTGGTGTACCCGACTGTCCAGACCATATCGGGAGAGTTGATTGAAACCCTCGAAGAGTTTTTGAACGAGAAATCATTTTTCCCGTTGCAAACACGGATTCCCAGCAAGCTGTTGGTTCTCCCGGGGAACGGATTGTCATCAAGACGCCACAAAAGTCATGGAGAAAAATCCCAGTTCTCAGGGTTCAGTTCGTCTACAGAGAGGATTTCGGATCAAACTTCTGAATCTGAGTCGGAGAGCAAATCTGGAGAGGATTTGAACACTACCACAAACACGAGCACAAACTCGATGGTCGACCTTCTTTCACTGGATGATTGGCCAGCTAACGATGTACCAAATTTGAGCATGGCAAATTCCCGTTCTGGTAACGGCTGGGAGTTGATTCTACCCGAGAATGTAACGCCATCATCACATACTGAATTTGACGGTCTTGAAGCTTCCGGAAATCAGCATAAAGAACCTCATTCCGGTGACGGTTGGGAGCTTATCCTACCACAGACACCAACCCAGTATCAAACAGACATTTCGTCGAACACCTTTCATGCATCTCCTACAACCGCATTTCTTCAGCCTCAACTTCCACCCATAAATCATTACAACCCGTTTTTACAAGATCCACAGGACATTCCAGCGACCAACTCCAATTCGGCATCAGGTTTTGAAGCAAGTTTTCCGGGAAATGGTCCCTACTTAAGAAGCACAAATTCTCCGGCAACCATACCTGCATATTGGGAAGGAAATCAAACAGAAGTAGTGAATGACCCTTTCACAGTAAACAACCCCTTCGCACAGGATACGAGAAACAGAGATCCGTGTAATGGCATGGCGAATCAACAAAATTTGATACAGCAGCACCAGCTATGGCTGCAAAACCAGGAGAAAATCATAGCTAGACATACAGTAAGCGTTTGATGTTCTCCATGGAATTAAAAAGAAAATATATCTTTTTAACATACCTGGACAATAACAATTGTTAATCTGGTGTTCATAATAAACCAAATAGAAATCTAACAAGCAATAGGTTCTCCCATGGCAACTTCAGCCATTTCTTCGATCTACATCCACGTTTATCGTAGAATCCATACTTCAAATCAGTACTCCGTGAATTGGACAATACATTTGATACAAACGCATATAACCTAACTTCTCGACGCTCATCTTCTATAAAAAGAGCACGCAAAGTAAAATCGAGATACGAGGTCGGAACTATCCTAACTGGATTTTTCAATCGTAACCAACAGAAACATGCCACAATATGCATGTAACTTTTCAAATGCTTTCAACATCATTCATAGGTAAGACAAATAGGTTTGTTATGAGTGTATGTGATCAAACAACTATTAGCAATATAAAAATTCATGCGATAGAAATCGAAGAACATCCGGACTAGGTTTAGCGTTCACAGAACCTTCTCTATCGGAAGTGCCACCGGCGACGAAGATGGAGGCTCTGATGTCAAATAGAGGTGCTCGTTTTTCGGTTATAACCAGTCCCGGTCCTCCCATGGCGTCTCTGTAACCGCTCCCGGTCCTTAGGTCGGGCCCTTAACCGGTGTTTCGGGTTTCAGCTGACCTATTGGAAGCCCACCGGCGACGAAGGGTTGGTAGGACTAGAACCCAAGCATTTTAATTTTGTAGGACATGTGAATGTGTGGGCTTATATAGGTTGCTTTTGGGATGAAAACTCAACCCAAACGTTATGAAAAATCTCAAATCTAAATTGCAATCGAATCCAACCCAAATTGTATGAATTAAGTGTCGTTTACTAATCGCTATTTCGGAAAGCGCTTACCAAGTCACTTTACTTTACCGGATGAATACGACAAGGACTAAGAATCTTACCCGGTAAGAGCGATTAGCAAGAATCGAGAGTCTTACCCGGTAAGTGAAGAACGACCGCTCTTACCATGGTTAGCGCTTACCGGAATAAATTGTTGCATACAATGCGTTTTAATAAATAAAATCTTACCCGGTAAGTAAACTATAATGTTGAATTTTACCGATAAGTGTTTAGGTAGACGGCTCCTTAGTCTAATACTTTAATACGTTATGTTATTTTCAATATTCATAAATCTTAAGATTATCATAAACTCATGTATTAGTAATAAAGGATAAATATTGTATAAGAAGCAAAATTAAGGTAAGAAGCGTAATAAATGATTTGGACCCTTGATCACTTTTAATCTTAAACTCACCTTTGATATAGGGATTGATCCGATGCATCTCGTCCTAATGAGCATCCAAGAGTAGAGATCATTTTGTAAGCTTCTCACCTTAACTCTCAACACTAATAATAAATAATGCAAATATACCAAGAAACCAAAAACAATACAAATAGAAAGGTGTGTATACTTTAAAAAACCTACTTGTAGCTTCAAAATTAATACACATCACTATAATTAACATCATCTGTGATGACTCTAATGCTGAAAGATGTATCCTATGGGCATCTTACCATTCACCTCAAACACATAAATGAAGCCAAAATTGTGATTTTTATCTCTCTATCTAACGTCGTTTTGACGACGACTTTTTGTTCTTCGTGTGGGATTTTTCAACGTCTCCCTCATCGTCATCCCCTCTTCTCCTCTTCCCACCACCCGTTTCCTTTATTTTCTACACGAATCGCAATCAAAGAATTAACTCTAGAAAAGGCACTAAACACCCATCCGTCGTTTAAAAAAGATTTAAGCATACCATCAGAGATAGCCGTTTAGCCTCTGTCACCCGCTCCAACAGCAACAAAACTTCTGCTTCTTCAGCTGGAAACTCAGGCAACTTCTTACCTGAAATATGTGGGAACCCCATCAACTTACTCTCCAAAAGATCCCATCAGATTACTCTTCGAAAGATCCTTTATAAAGAGGGTGATGCGGGACTCCAACACGCCCCCTTAGCCAGAGGCTTGATTGATTGTGTTGGGTCCCTTGAGATGCTAAACACCGACTCTGATACCATGTTAGGATATGTGAAACCCATTGAGATTAGTCTTCAAAAAAGCCTTATAAAGAGGGGGGGCCAACGTATATCGAGGTTAGATGGACAAAGTCTAGCAGATGTGGAACTCCAACATATATATATATATATATATATATATATATATATATAGAGAGAGAGAGAGAGAGAGAGAGTGTGTGTGTGTGTGTGTGTGTAAGGTTAAGGGAAAAACCCCCAAAAAAAATAAAAAAATAAAAAACACCCTCATAATCGTTCGTCTGTACAGTATGCACACGTGCATACAAGTAATTGAAAATGTTTCTTGGTTTCTATGCATGTGTGAATGTTATGCACAAGTGCATACCGGAAAAATTACTTATAAATTACTTGTATACACATGTGCATACCATACAAATGAATAGTTACTAGGGTGTTCACCATTTTTTCGTTTTTTGCGGTTTTACCCTGAACCCGACCCTATGTATATAAGATACATATACATATAGTATAGTAATCATCATACCAATTAGTTTCTCTATCTGGATATACCACTCCAGCTCATACTGATTCACTAACGAGATGGCAACCCCAGATCGTCCTGCACGTGCAGTTCTTCCAACTCGATGAATATAGTCCTGAAATCCCATATCATAATTCAACAAACGCTCCAAATATCACCACACTAAACCAAACCAAACAAACCCAATATGTCCCAACCGGAGATGGGATCTTGGGGGTGGGATGTAAATAGACCTGACCTCTACCTCCAAAGGTAGATTTCCATGAAGACACCCGGATTTTGCGAGTGTGCAAAAAGAAAGAATAAATCTTCACCTTTGAGTTTGTGGGAATATCGTAATTTATGACCATATCAACCGACGGAATATCTAGTCCTCTACTAGCCACATCGGTACAGATTAGAATATTACATTCTCCAGCCTTGAATTTGTTCAATGCACCAAGCCTTTTTGCCTAATTTGATAACTTACAGAAAGTTAGAACTAAAGGATTAATAAAGAAAGCTTAGACAAGTCAAAATCATACCTGAGTCATTTGACCAGAAATCGGGATTGCCCGTAGACCAAGGTTCCGCAACATCAAAGCCAAAAGACGGGTGGCTTCACAAGTTCGAGTGAAAACCATCGATGTACTTCCAGACTTTTCGATCAAGATATATACAAGATAACAGTCCTGTTAATACAAAATGATTTAAATTTTAGAACACTGATATATACACACACACACACACAGAGATGGAGAGAGTTTCAAACAAAAGCCGAGAACTGTAACCAAGAGAACACGAAAACTGCCAAATCACGTGCAAAATCACATAAGATTTACACAAACGGTCAACAAAAGGTGTGCAGGCGACGTGACCCATGACCCAAAGTTGCATGAATCACATGTGATTCGACCGTATTCTTATTCTCTTATTTAGTTACTGTTTTCGTATGAACCAAACTCTCTCTCTATATATATATTATATATATGTTTCTGTTCCAATTCCAGGTTACAGGACCTTGTGTTTGGCAGGAACAAAACGAAACTGCTGTTTCAAGGTGTCAACGGTGGAATATTTAGACGCTGCTTCGATCTGAAAGAGATAAGAAAAATGGATTACCATCAAATGTTCAGAAACCAAGCAATTTGTAAAAGGTTTATATTGTTACCTTTACAGGATTTCTTAGACAAGCTCTCTGCAGCTTTTGCACCTGCAATGATGATAGAAATTGCAACGTTATACACTTCTCTCGCTCGAAAAATCTTTTCTTACATAGTTTCTTTACATATTTATTTAACTCTAGAGGAGAACCTGCTAAGATCCTCGAACTATATCGATACTCTATCCATCAAACTTGCAATACATTCATTTATGAAATGTCCCATGAAGATTGCAACAACTCTTCTCTTGATAAATTGCCAAGTCTTATTTACAAGTTTGCCCATTCGTCACCATCACGAATTGAGACCATTGACTTTGGTTGATAATCCTGTTGGTTGATGAGCTAGCTAATAAACTAGTAACGTTTAATAGCTGATAAGCTAAATGACAACGTAAAATGACATAAAAAGACACGTTTGAAAAATTAAATGAAAAAGTATTAGGGGTATAACTGGAAGAAAAGAGGGTGCAAAAAAGCCCATGAAGCTTATTGAAGTAGTTTTTCAAAAAGCTAGCTTATGGGAAAACCAAAGTGACTTTTTCAATAAGCTCAAAAAATAAGCTAGCTTATGGTTGCCAAACATGGCCATACAGGAACTTTGCTCGCAAGGACGAACTATTTAGAAGACGTTGATTATAACAATATTAACAAACAAACTTCACCACAAACACGGTTTGAAATGCAACAGTAACAGCATCCATACCTTCTTAGTCATTGTAGCAGAGAATAAGTATGTCCTCCGTTCACGAGGAATCGCATTTAATATTTCATCTAACGACTTCTCAAAGTCCTCATTTAGCAACCTGTCTGCCTCATCCAATACCTGAAAAACAAGCATGTGAAGTAGGAGATTGATTCATCTTATAAAAAACTAACCCAACATAATCACTGAAAGCAAAGAATATTGCGTCTTTGTGAAATGCAGAAATTAAAATAAGTTCCCAAAAAATGTCAAGTTCTTACCAAGTACTTTATAGTACGAAGAGAAAACCCTTTAGTATTGGATAAATGATCCACGAGACGTCCAGGTGTTGCAACCTGCATCAAGAAGAAATCATATAAGATGCCTTTCGAATCATTATATAATCGTTTGACAACACAAACTGGCGTTTGATGAACAAGTAACCAACTTAATATCTAATATAGAAGATTGAGGGCCTGTTTGTTAGCAGCTTAATGAGCTTAATGAGCTTAATGGGACTCGTAGCTTATTCGCTCAGCTATACATGATTCTCTGGTAGTGGCTTATTCAGTAAGATTCTAGGGGGAAAGCTTTATGCAGAAAGCCAATCCTCTTCCGAACCTGCCTTTCCCAATTAAAAAACAAGCTCTTCCCATCTATGGAAAAACCCTTCCAAACAAAACACTTCCAATCTATACAAACAGATTAATCCACACAAACAACTTTATCCTTACAGGACTTAATGGAAAACCAAACAATAAAGATCATGGAGAAGTAAGCTTACAATAATGTGTGGCCGCTTTCCAAGAGCAATGCTTTGTTGTACCTGATCCACCCCTCCAACAAGCTGCAAAATTGAAGTCAAGGTTAAAAAAGGATTCATAAATCTTAATCATTAAGATGATATCCATATCGTCTACATCATTCATTAGGTTATCACCTAATCATACAAGTTCGTCTTTCATAATTCTATTTTTTCATGTATCCCGATCTCCCTATAATTTATCATCTACCCACTTCAATTTAGCCATCTACTCCATCCGTCCCAAAATAAGTGACCACAATGAAGTTAGAAGTGTGTAATTATTACATTTTTCAATTAACTAAATTACAATTTTATCCTTAATAATAGAGAGTAATGAATTTATCCATCTCCAAAAGCTCACCACTGCGGACTTCACGCCAATGCTAGATCCCAACGCTTCAAACTGCTCCGCAATCTGAATTGCAAGTTCCCTACAAAGAATTGAAGACCACGGAAGAAATATGAAGCACAAAATCCATTAAATTTGCCGAACAACTTTCCAAAACCATCGAAGACATGAGGGTTTAGGATTTAGAACAGACCTTGTGGGAGAAAGCACACACGCAAAAAAGGCTTGTGGAGTTTCCAACAAAGCTTGGAGTATTGGGAGAGCAAAAGCTCCGGTTTTACCAGAACCAGTCTGTGCTAACCCAATCAAGTCCTTCCCTAAACGTTAAATGCAAACAACCGACATCAGCTAGACTGAAGATGAAAAATAACCAATATGAAGCCTATTAACATTATTTTAAATAAAATAAAAAACATGATTGAAAAGGCTAAACCTTCAAGTGCATGAGGAATGGCTTCGGCCTGTATTTTAGAAGGATTTTTCCAGCCAAGACTATCACATGCTTCGATCAACTGATCAACTACTCCTAGTTCTTTGAACGTCTTCGTTTCTTCTTTGTCTTCCATTCTTTAATCTGCACAAACAGGGACGTAAATGCTTCATGGTGGGTTTCCGCCAACCGGAACTCAAGTAAAGCTTCGTCCATATCAATTCAAGTAGGATATAAAAGAGTTTTGCATTGTGAAACGGGAAACAATAGCTCTGCCCCCTCTCTATCTATCCAAGGGATGGAAGGGCAGAGTCCTTTGGTGTCCCCCCCCCCCAGTCAAGAATTGGGGCATCTGCCTACCCGACTTCTTCTATCACCCCAGAAAGTAGTTCAATGGTAGCTGACAAATTTTGATTGATAAATTGCTTTAACCAAACAATAAGTTCAAAAATAGAAACCATACCCAACTGTTAAAGTTGTGCCCCATATCACTCATTGATCCCATTCCCACCCTACTGACCCAGCTTCCCAAATTTTTCATAAACCAATGAAACTTGCAGTAAATTTGATGAGTGCAAACAATCGCCACTTTTTAGAGACAAATATTTCAAATTGCTCTAACCAAATGAGTGCAATTTGAAATATTTGTCTTTAAGAACTAGCAATTGTTTGCATTCATCAAATTTAATGCAAATTTTATTGATCTTTGGAAAGTTTGGGAAGTTGGGTCAGGGAAGGAATGGATCAATGAGTAACATGGGCTACTTGGCTTAGGGGCTGTTTACCAAATTTTCTATTAAGTCCTGTATGGATAAATTTGTCTGGATAAATTTGGCTGTCTGGATAAATTTATGTTGCTGTTTACTTTTCTATCTGAATCAACAGTCTGAACAACAGAAATGACCAATTTACCCCTGAGGATTAACTATGGGCTGTTTAGTAAACTGTTGTTCATTTTTTAAGGACAAGAAACAACATAATGCACTGTCCACATACATATTCCAGCTTTGTAATTTGATACAAGAAACTTAAGAACAAATCAACATACTAGTAGCAAATCATCAGCAATATCGACCACATACATAGACCAGGTAGGGTTTTTCTAAAAGCAAATCAACAGCAATAGAGCACATACTAGAGCAGCAATATAGCAAAAATTGGAGATAAAGAGGAGAAGTAAAAATCGAGCACATAGTAGCAGAAAATCAGCAGCAATAGAGCAGCAATATAGCAACAATTGGAGATAAAGAGGAGAAGTAAAAATCGAGCACATAGTTGCAGAAAATCAGCAACAATCGAGCACCAATCGAGCAGCTAGGGTTTTTCTAAAAGCAAATAATCTATAGATAAAGAGGAGAAGAACCTGTCAATTGATGGAGAAGAGGGTCGTGAGTGATGGAGAAGAACCTGTCAATCGATGGAGAAGAGGGTCGTGAGTGATGGAGAAGAACCTGTCAATCGATGGAGAAGAGGGTCGTGAGCAATGGAGAAGAACCTGTCGATCGATGGAGGAGAAGAGGGCCGTGAGCGATGGAGAAGACTATCAATCGGTTGATCGATGGAGGAGAAGAGGGCCTGGATCGATGGAGAAGAGATGTGCGATTAGGGCTGTCGATCGATGGAGGAGAAGAGGCGGGGTGTTTCTTGGAGACGCAAGGGTAGGGCAGTCTTTTGGCCGGCTTAACCTGGACAACCTCTTTCTTTTATCTGGGCGAATAAGCTCATTTCTGAACGATTAAACCCGAAGTAAACACCTTAAAAAGTCTGTGCGAATAAGCCCATTTATCCGCTAAGCTCATTAAGCCACAAGTAAACAGGCCCTTAGAAAAACTCTCTTGCACAAGTGTAAGAGTTGCTACAGTTCCTATTTTTTAACTTATTGTTTCGATAAAGCAACTTACAAAGTATCAACAAAGATTTATGTTGCATTTTGATACAAACACATAATATAACGTTCAAAACATGTATATTTAACTTGTTGAACTTGTTATTACGTCTAAACAGTCATCTTCTATAAAAAACAGAACATACAAAATCCAGAACCGAAATCAAAACTATCCTAATTAGATTTCCAACGACAGAAACACTCCTTAATATGATCAGCATATAACCTTTCAAGTTTCAACTGTTTCGAATAAAAAGCATCAAACATCAAGGCCCACAGTATAGGGATGCTCACGGCTTGAGGGAATTTGAAAAACCCAGCCAAATGTGTGCGGTTTGAAAAATCCCAACCCAACCCAAACCAGACTGTACGGGTTCGTCGGGTTGGTACTTTGGGACATCAAGATATTCTACTATGTTTGCTACCTTAAATATGTTGTTTTCTATACCCATAATTCCTTTTTCATCATCAATCATTTGGTAAAGCTTATCCATACACCTTTCTTAATTCTTAAGTATATCACATTACACTACTTTTTCTCAATTTGCACATATATGTTCTATACAAGGAGTTATACAGAGATGGAAAAGAGATTGAAAATATATGTATATGAAGAGGTTATTTGATGTGTTATGGTGTAATTGTCTAATGTACATATTAACAATCGTATTAAATCCAAGAAATAATCGGTTCAAATGACCCTACCTTAAATTTCAGCCCAATACCTACGGTTTGAAGAGATCTTCCAACTCGATTAAACATCTGATTGGTTCCACCCTACCATACTATACTAAATAAGCAAAAATTTACTCCACCCTTAGAATATAGAGCAGTAGTATACTAAATTACTAATATTGCTGCATCAAACAACAATATTAGGGCAGATTCATGAAGCAGAAAGGGGGACGAGCAGCAGTATCATGAAACATCAAGCCCAACACTTAGAAAGAACAACTGTGTGCGTACCTATTGGTGGAGGAGATGGCGGGCGACAAACAGTAGAAGTAGAAGGGCGACGTTATGAAGCGATTCTGGTGTAGTAGCAGCGGCGGTAGGGCACAAAATACAAATCGCCAAATTGGAAGGGGGTGGTAACTAAAACTTGAAATGGCACCAACAGGTATTACGACCAAACGAGTGAACTACGATTTTCGTCCTTCTTATTTGTTATTTATAACTATTTTCGTTCTTGGTTTTTAAAAAGTGTTTTTTCGTTTATATGGTTATCAATTCATTTTGTTTTTCGTTCCAAACACTTACCCGCTAAATGCTTACTGGTATTTAACACTATCATTTATTTACTGTGTAAGATTTTAGTCCACGAAAACGGTATTATATGCAACAATTTACCCGGTAAACGTTTACCGTGGTAAGAGTCGTCGCCCTCACTTACCGGGCAAGACACTTGATCCTTATCTTGTTCTTATCGGGTAAGATTCTTGGTGTTCACTTATCTGAATAAGCATTTGGTAAATAGCCTCAGTTAGATTTCACCAGTTAACTAAAGGGTATTTTGGTCTTTTTACTGTGTTATTTAGTTTTTGTTAAAAAATAACATGTAGTATATTGTATTTATATTATATTCAGAACACATCAACTTAATTGATATGAAAATCCGCTCGAAATGGTGATTTTATACAAAGAGATTTGTTATCTATATATTTTGAGGACTCTATTATGAACTACCACTAGTCTGATAGTACATAGAGATATGTGGTTGAATCTAAACATTAATGCAAATATTGAAGTTCGAGAGGAATACCTTCAAAATATATGGTGGAACTTGTTATTATGAATTATATACCAAGAGGTATTGGTCCATTGGAATTTGTGTTTATGTCTCACCACAAGTCTTACACACATGTTACATTTCTTTACCTGTTGTTTTCAATGGTGTTAACTCAAAACCAAATCAAAGTCTTCAAATTCGTCATCTGAAGTTAGTCTTTCAAACTTGAAATCTTGCAACTTAAGATACTTGTCCATGTGGAATGCGATACTTGGTTCTTACCATTTTATTATTTGAAGACGATAGTGTTGACATGTGTATACTTGCATATATCATCACTTATGTAGTGTTTGGTACGCAGATTGGACTGGACTGGACGGGACGGGACAGAACAGGACTGGACGGGACTGGACTAATTGTCTGTCCCATGTTTGGTACGACTAGGACAGGACATGACAAAACTGTTAAAATGACCATATTACCCCTAAATGCTGTAGGGTTTACCACTAGGGAATGCTTATGCTTATCTGATCATTTCAGACATATTTATTAGCTAAAAATTGAGTTGCATTAGAACCAAATGCAACTTATGACAGAAATGTTGTACCAGGAAATGAAGGCAGGAAGCTTATGCTTATGCTTCATCTACCCAAACTGAGTTGCATTAGAACCAAATTTATCTTACATTTCATTATAACAAAAACATAATACCAAGAAATTTGTGTTATTAAGCCATTTGGTGAAGAAACAATTGCAGAGGAGGCGATAAACAGAAACAAAGCAAAATCGTGCGCAGCAAAAAAACGAGAGGGAGAAATCGAGAAATCAAACCGATTGCAGAGGAGGCGATGGAGGCCGGTGGAAAAAGCCGATGTGGAAGAGGCGATGTGGAGGAGGATGTGAAGAGGCTGTGGAAGAGACGATGACGAAGGGACGATGATGGAAGAGACGATGTGAAGAGGGGCTGTGCTAATTAGGTTTTCCAATTTGAAACAAGGGTAACATAGTCAAATCATATTTAGTACCATGTTGTTCCATCTTTTTTGGTGGAACAAAAACCATCAAGTTTTGTCCCATGAAATTTAAAAATAGTCTCATCTTGTCTCATGTATTTTTTGTCCATGACATACCAAACATGGGACTATTTTTTTTTCCCGTCCCGTCACGTCTCATATAGTCTGCATATCAAACGCACCCTTAGTGTTGTAGAAATACAATATCTAGTCCCCATAACTCTTATCAAGCATTTTTAATAAATGACCCCTTAGTAGCGAATCTACTTCTAAAGTGTCGCATTTGGTTAACTAATTTTTTTGGGGGATACTTTGTTATTGACATGTTTGTTATTTTGAAGAAAATAAGAGTGGATTGTTAAGTAAACATTTAATTCTAAGGGCAAAATGCAGGAAATAGCAACCTATTTTTATAAAATTTCTTATTATAGCATTCTACTTTCAATTTTTCTTATTACAACAATGTACTTTCAAAATATTTTTTATTAGGGCATCTTACTTTCAAAAATTTACTCGTTATAGCATTGAGTAACCTTTTAAATTAAATTTACTCATTATATCATGTTTCTTTGCCACCTCATCATCCACGTAGGCTGTCAACATATACGATAGTGCTGACATGACATTTCTTATTATAGCATTATACTTTCAAAATTACTTTATTATAACATCACCAATTTCTATTACAACATTGTATTTTTCATTTTAATATTTTTATCATTTAAAATTGTAAATTTAATAATAATAAAAAATTACCCGAGAGAGAGAGAGAAAGAGAATTTTTCTCTGTCATAATTAAGAATAAAATAAGAATATAGACATTTACTTTGGAAATAAAAGCAAATAATCATTTCATAACAACATATAGTTCATCTAATCTTAGCCGACCACACGAGGATATTAGGCACAAAATCAAAGTAACTCAATAAATGATAGACCTACGAGCATTGACGTTCTCCATTCGGTTACCAAATACTAACCAGGTACGTATTTACTAAAAAAAGTTTATCACTAGAAGACCACTGGAAGACACCGGGACCAAAGCATGTTAACCTTTCGCCCCTTACTGAAAAGGGGCAATTAACATTGCACAACTGATAGACTACTTAAGATTCAATTTTTTCTTTTTCTCTTAATTCACGGAAGAGATCGCAAATCTCATCCTCTAAAAAGGTCCCTATATTGATATATCAAGGGCCCTCCCACCGTCGTTTCAGTCACGCTTCAAGACAACAGTTTTGCTCAGCGTCTCCTACCGGGATCGAGTTCTGAACCTAAAATGCAACTATCATGTTTCGGGGCAAGGCCCCGACCGATTCAACCGACTTTTGCTTTTGGATAACAAGAATGCGAGCTTCTCTGCTTTGATCTTTCACTTACCTTATCAGACAACATTCTTAGCCATCAGAGCGCGTTTTTACCCGGCAAGAATCTTCTATCTCGCTTACCAAGAAAGATTCTCGATCTCGCTACGCCTGCAAGTGAAAGATTCTCGATCTCGCCATGCCTGCAAAACAACCATTCTCAATCTGACATTAAAAGTGGTGTTCAAGCCGACCAAATAAACTAAAACAAGCAACACCACAAAACAGCATTTGCAAGTCAAAAAACTACAGTAGTAGATTATAAAAAAAGACCATTCTAAATGATGTTACATTCTTTCATGGCTTAAAAGATGCAAGTGTTCAGCTCTCAAAGATCAAAAAAACAAAAGTAAACAATCTATTAATCCCTTTCAAAACCGCGAGCTAATTAATTCATCCTCCTGATTAACTCGTTGATGAAATCCTCACGGTTGCCGGCATCTCCGCCTTCAACGTAATGGTTTCGTTTCTTCTTTAGACCACCCAAAGGTGCCTTCAGCTTGAATGGCCACAGGAAGTTGTTTGCTTCTTTAAAATGAGGACCGGCAGTCAATATCTCATGAATAAGATCTTCAACGCAGATTATGCCGAATTTTCCGAGCCCCTGTTGTCCCAAAAGCCCATATTCCATTATGACTGTATATTTCCAGGATTTCATATATACTTGCATACACACACACACACACATATATATATAGAGAGAGAGAGAGAGAGAGTCCCCTTCTTTTACAAACCTAATAATTCGTAGAAACTTACAAACCAACTTTCATTTGTTGTTTCATAAAATGAAGTGTTGCTTCATATGTGAAACATTCAAGACCGTCTTTTTATCCACACGTAATAATTTTTAACGTTTCACATATGACAACACTTCATAAACACTCCATTTTCACACATGTTATTGTAAGTTCGTATAGTTTATTGGGTTTGTAAATGATTGTCTCGGGGGAAGATCAAACGAGAACAGAGTCGGAAAATGAAAACACGAAAACGTCCAAATTACATGTGACTTTGCACTGAAATCACATTGGATCAACAGAAGCGGTGAGCGGTCAACTTGGCCCGTGACCTCAGGTCGAGACCAAAATCGCATGAATTATGTGTGCTTTTACATGTGATTCTGGTGTACTATCACAGTAATTTCGCCATTCTCAGTGTTCTTTTATTTGTTCTCGTTTGAACCCGATTTTGTGTGTACATATACAACTGCTAGAACCGAAGACAAACCTGTTCAACAATTGAATTGTCAGTTAACGGAATTCTTTGCTTGTTAAGTTTGCCATACCCTCTCTTGTAAATCAACTCTTTGACGCTCTTCAAATTGGGATACCTGATAAGAATTAACGTAATTCAACTCTTCAAATGGGATAACATTAAAGACTCGAAATCTATTTCACATGTAAAACTTACCCGTAGGTAACATATGGCTCGACCCTGTGTAGCATGTTCAATGTGGCTTTATTGACTTTCAAGAACACACCGTTGAAAATCTGGTTTGACAAAATATAAGTATAAGCACACAAACAATAAAAGAAATATTTTGTTCTATGAGCTGATAACAACATTGGGATCGGGCTAGCAGATTCACTGGGCCACTTGAAAACCTCTAAGATAAACAACCCAAGGGTTGGACTAGCATATTCATGGGGTCACTTAGTATGTCATTAAGCTTTACATCTCATGTTCGAATCCGTTCATGTGCTGTCAATTCCTGGGTAGGCCAAATTAACATTTTCATTCAAGTAGATTTCTGATTATGGTGTTGTAGATGGGCATGAACCGCTAATCCCAAAAGCAAAATATTCTCTTTCGACATGGCAATTCACCATCATGATTCAATTTTATGCTAAACAAATCAACCAAAAGATTGAATGCCAAAAATATACTATCCCCACATAATTTTATTGATAAATTTCTTTCACGATCTCTACTTTTTACATAAAATAACTTCAAAATGAAGCTTTTCATCAAACTGTATAATAACCATCGTTTTTCACGAAAGATCACATTCTAAGAAGCAACTTTAAACAAACACTAAACCCACATGTTCATGTTCTTAAAATCATATGTGATAATAAGACCCAAAGACAGTACATGGAGATCATACATGATAGATACAAAATGATGTTTAAACGAAAGCAGAAAACAAGATTCCGAATCAGGGTATCGCAAATCACCTGTCTCAAACGCAAAAGTTGCAAAATCTTCTTTGACTTTGGGTCCATTGCATTGATACTAGACATTTCAAAATCGAAGAACGATTATTCTCCAGCTATAATTTGCAAAAATGACACAAATCACAATTGTGAAAATATAAAAAGACAACAAATCATACCCACGAATACGAATAATGAACAACATCTTGGCTTCAGGGTTCACATAAAATCCCCCTCTCAACCTTGCCTCACGCTTCAACTGAATCAACTCCCTTTCCTGCATTAATGAATTTTGATACATGTCAGTTTACTAAAAGCAATCAACACAACTCAGACCTATGATTATAAAAATGTAACGAACTTGAATAAAAATAAACGATGATATGAAATATCGTAGAGACCTGAGCCTCATACTCCTTGCTGTACTGCTTGGCCCTGTTAAAGATCAGCTTCCTGTTAGCAGCACTCTTCTTCTTAGACTCTTCAGCCTCTTGCTTCTTTGCCAGAGCCCATTCTTCGTTTCTCTTTTGCTTCTTCAATACAGACTCTGGAACAATAGGTCCTCCCTTGGCAACATCAGCCATTTCTTCGATCTACATCCACGATTATTGTAAAACCAAAAGTTCAATTCATTACACCATAAACACTCCTATTTTACATGTTGTAGATTGATAAATCACATAATATAAGGTTGAAAACACGTATATTTAGCACAGAACCCGCCAATACTTCTAACAGCATCCTCTATTGAAAAAAAAATACAAAATCGGAACAATCCTAATTCGATTTTCAGTTCATAAGCGGCAGAAACACGCCTTAATTTGATCGACATAAACCCTTTTCTATGCTTTCATAGGTAAGCAAATCAATGAATTACGAGTGTTTGTTATTCATGTGATCAAACAACAATTAAAAATGCAGAATAGAGGAACAAGAACACAACGGCGACTCGGTTTACAAAAGCTTACCTGTTGGAAGCCCACCGGCGACGAAGGGTGTGTGTCCAGGTAGACGATGAAGCTCGGAGGCCAAACGAAGGATTAGGGTTTTGCACGAAGTGTTTTAAAACCAGATGCATCCAACGGTTTGGATCTGAACTCCAGAGAGCCCATGATTTGTGGGCTTGAATTTAAGTGTAGGAGTCCAATGGGCTTTATATTAACCTTTATAACGATCCATGGGATTTGGTTAAATTTTGATGACATAAAATGGCGGCATAGGTTGAGAACGATGTCGTATGGTCGGCTAAAGACGATGGAAATGACGGTTTTAGACATTTTCGATACCATGATTTTTTATAAACGAGTTTTTTGGAGACGTATGATTACGGTGTGTAAAGACGTGTAACTAGTATGAATGGTAAGGTTAACGGTGGACGGGAGGAGGGTTAGAGAACAGACGTACAGCTTACCAAGTCCTATAAGTAGGGCTATAAATGAGTCGAGTCGAGTTGAATAGCAGGTTATTCGAGATCGGCAAGAAAAAGTAATATCAGGGTTGAGCTCGATTAAGTTTTTCCGAGTCGGGCTCGAGTTTAAAGTCGAATATTTTTTCAATGCTTGAGCTCGATGCTTGTTTACGAGCTCAAATTCGAAATCGATTAACTCGTTTATTTATTCAAGCTTGATGGTTTAAATATCCTGATCATATAAATTTGTAAACATATAAATATTGTTGGCTCGAATGGTACGACTCGACTCCTAGAGTTTATTCGATCTTTTGAACGATTTGTATCGAACATTGGTTAAAATTAGTATATAAAAAGTTACCTATAATGGTTTAGAAAGGTTTTTAATTAAAAATATTATATTAGTATTACCGTTCTCGAATCATACGCCATCCAAACCCCTCAAACTAGGGGTGCTCATGGGTTGGATTGATCGGGTTAAAGACATTTGAACAACCCAACTCAATGCTTGTGGTTTGAAAAATCTTAATCCAACCCTGGCCAAATCAAAGTGCAACCCAACATAAACCTTACGGGTTGGTCGGGTTGATACTTTGATACATTAAAATATTCTTTTAACCTTGAATATGTTGTTTCTCTACTCATAATTTCTTTTTCATCATCAACCATTTGATACAACTTATCTATACTTTTTACACATATCACATACAGTTAATTTATCAATTTATATCTATACTATCTTATAAAGCATTTGGCTAAAACTTTTAAAAACTCTTAAACTCGTTCATCTCTAAACGATTTCATCCCTATCCGATTTCATCACATATCTGAATTCGTGTAACTAACTGCAGATAAACACAATCAAATACATGATAAACATCTCATTTTAAATATAAAAAATCTAAAATATAATTAGTATAATCATTAAATTCTAACAGAATATTTAATTATTATCTTT